GGGACTAGCCTGGTAAAGATTTTGTGGTAAGACAGAGTACTGTGAGCTCTGGAAATTTAAAAAAAAAAAAAAAGGGAGGTAGAATTGGGGCACAGAAAAAAATCATTTTTCCTCTGTTCTCTCTGAAAATTTCTAGGAGAACACATGAGGAACTATTAATAGTGCTTATTTTTGAGCAGTGGGGTTGGAGGTTGGGCAGGTACAGAAAGAAAATTTTGCTTTCACTTCCATTCTGTATGGTAGGTATTTTTTTTTTTTCATTCATTATGAGCTTATATGACTATTGTAATTTTTGCAAGCTGAGGAAGATAAAAATAAGGGGGGTTCATTACATGTACCCCCAGTTTATAGAGAAAGTTAGAACCCTATTTATCGAGCTCTATCAAAAGTTCTGTTATCAGCTGTGCTATTGTCTTTCCTGTAAAGAACTTTTTGAGTTATCCTGGGCAGCCTCAATCACTGGGGGGGTGGGGGGGAGGGAATGTGGGTGACTGATTTTAATAACAATAAAGGGCAAAGATTCTAGACTATATTTTTTGTAAAGACGCTTGTACTAAGTGTCATGGGGAAGTAGCCATGAGGTCTCAGCTGCACCATAAATACCCCAGGAACTGCCCAAAGATCAGACACATTTCATTAGGAAATGTAACCACGTTATTACTGAATACAAGTGACAGATTTTAATTCAAGTTAGTTCAATAGTGTAGAAATCCAAACTTGGTTCTGTTTGGGGTGAGGGAGAGGAAGGAATTTCATAGCCAAGATTCCATTTCAAGGAAGGGTAGACTCCGTAAGAGGGGAGAGAGGGTATGTCTTCTGATGTTTCAAATGTACAGGTATGATTATGCTACTGACCTCAAGAACTAAACAGAAGCCCATACTTAGCAAGGATTGCTGTGGATCTGACTGGCTTCTCATATTTTCAAAATGTTGCCCTAACCTGAGATTGGTAACAACTTTGCTCAGCTGATGTATTTGAAACACCACTTGTTTTTTGATGCTACTATTTTGGCGACCATTCATAAAGTTAATTGTTTTTTCTCCACTTGCGTTTTTCCTTTCGAGGGTCCCACATGGCACACAGACCTCTCCTGCCGCCCGCTGCGCCCCTCAGCAGTGTACTTCCTCAGTCTGCCTGTTCTCTTCTCCTCTCTGGCTCTGGTGAATTTTCTCGCCCTCCTGCGCTTCTGACTGTACCCAGTGCTTGTATAAATAAATAAATAAATCTTTTTTAAAAATAAATAAATAAAATAAAATAAATAAATCTTAAAAAAAAAAAGAATTGTTTAAAATCTCCCCCTGACCAGTAGCATTGAATTTGAAATTGAAACTGGCACCTCAGGTGAGACCAAGGCCTGTGCTGAATTGCACCAGGGGTTGGGGCTGAGGAGGTGAGCTGGAAGCTTCTAAGAGGCAAAGTCCTTTCTGACCTGTGGAAACAAAACTCTTGTTTATATCTCTCCTTTTCTATCTACTTTGCCTTACTATCCTGCCATCCTTCCTATTATTTTCTTTCCCCTTCTTTACTTTCTAAGACAATGAATGGTGGATTCGATTTGGGGCAGGGGCAAGGAGAGGGAAAGGGCAGATATTGACTATTCTTGAGATACTTGCTTCCCAAAAGTTCTTCTCATTATTTTTGACTGTAAAGATCTCCTCTGCCTATAGGAACTTCTGGGAAGCAAATAACAAAAGATCTGATTGACAATAGAGCACGTTCCCTTTCCTTAAGCATTTTCCTTATTTACTTCCTCTGGAATCTTATGAAAGCCAACACAGTCAAATCTTGAAATAACTAGAAAAGGAGCTTTTGTTTCTCTACATAATTGTTAAACATTGCTTGTGTTCAGACTGAGAACCAGAATTAGTAGGAATTTTATTTGAAATAATTTCAGAATAGCATGTGCTCCTCAGAGTCTTGTCCTCAAGAAGCCACTTTGCTTGGAGTTCAGTATTGAATCATAACAGCAGGGAAAAAACAGGGTCTCTTAACCTTGGCAATATTGGCCTTTGAACCAGGTGCTTCTTGGGGGGGGGTGTGTGTAGCCTGGGGCATTAGAGACTGGTAAGTGGCGTCCCTGGCCTCCATCCAATAGCTGCAGGTAGCACCCTCCCATCCCAGAAGCTGGGACAATCAAACCTGTCCCCGGTATTGCCAAATGTCTCCTGGGGGAGAGGCGTGGAGAGGTGCAAAGTCACCCCCAATTGAGGACCACAGATCTAAATTCAGCAGTGTCTGATGAGGAATTTCTGGGTGTTATTTCAGAAACTTTGAGCATTCAAAACCCGAGCAGGGCAGTTCCAACTGCCTCTCCCTTTGCCTGGGACATTGGCCCTCGGTGACACATCGCAGTCTGTCCAGGGCACTGAGGCCATGCCAGCAGTAGACTTTGATGACCTCATAGATCTTTTTCCTGTCTCAGGGTTCTGGCTAATGACAGCACAATCGATGTGCTGGTGCTGGAAATGTGCTGAGAAAACAACGGGAACAGGGTCAAGTTCTCCTGCAGCCTGGGCCAAACACAACATTGCATACACGTTCTTCCTGAGACAGAAAATGTTAGGGATTAAAAGCAGAGTTTAAAAAAAAAATGTCAGCCTTTCATTGCATTCAAGTCCAGTATGCGTCTGTGTCCAGATGGAGCTGAGATACCGTCACCAAGAGATCTTGAAACATGTTACCAGGTGGCTTAACTATCACAGCTAAATCTATATATTCAATTTGGCAGAAGCACCTTCTTCCCTTTTTGGGAAACTTATACTCTGCTGCCTAAATTCAGCTGAATTATGAAGTGCAGAAATTTAGACTTGGGGAAAACCATTGTTCCCCATTTTCCCTTTCTTCTTTCTTCTTTTTTACTATTGTGTTCACACATATAAGAAAAGTTGATTCAACACATCTGGATTGTGAAATCAATCACGAGTCGTGGATGTGTCGGTACAAGTATTGTATTCTCTGTTCGTGTTCAATTGAACATTTAAAACCCAGCAGCTGCCTTAGCAAGCTCATCAGGAAGGGAGTGTGGGTTTTACTAGCTTCTCTGTAGCTTGCTGCACACTTTTCATATTGTGTGAACTAAGGGCAGGTCTCTCGTTGCAAAAGCTAAACATTATTCCTCCCTGGAATAATGCTTCCTACTGGGTGCCTGGCCCACTGGTTGCCATCCTTGCAGCTTTATATTTCTAAAAATATTGTCTTCTGCTAGGAGAGCTAAGAGGGCTTCAGACAAGTGACTGGCTAGTTGATAAGAACTTCATTTTATTGAAAGACACCACTTTTAAAATCTGGTTTTTGACTCTCATGAACAGCAGTTGCCATTAAGTCTAACATGCAGGCATCCCATGCTATGAACACAGTGACTTCTCCTTCTGCACCAGGTTCCTCTGCTTTACACTCCAGTCTTAGTCATGGTGGGGTCACTGCCTCTGCCTGGGGTGTTCTTTCTTCCCCGGGCCATGTGCCCTTCAAATCCTGCCCATCTCAACTGCCACCTCCTCCAGGAAGTCTCCCTTCTCTTATCCTTATTCCCACATTCGTGGGAATGAGGCCTGCCTTTGAACTGCCATTGTCTCACCCCTCTTGTGACACTTTGTCTTCTTGGGGGTGATTTATGTTTCCTTCCCTATTGTACAGAAACCCTTTGCGGGAAGGATCAGCAGCTGGTTCCTGGTTCTGTTCCTGAAGCCACGTCGCTGAGGACTTTGTCCATGGTGTTCAGTAGATAGCATGTTAAATGATGGCCCCTCTGATAGCATATCCAGATTTGATACTTGCTCTGCTCTGAGTAAGTCCTTCTGGAAGGCAAGATAGTGCCTCTTTCTGACTGCATCAGGTGAAGAAAGGCAAAGGCCAGTTGCAGTTCAACTCCCTGCACAGATGTTGTAATCATTCTCTTTGCAAACGTGTGTCAGCATTTTTGCCTCTGTTCTTTTTACGTACATGTGGAGAACCAACTCCCTAGCCTCGCTGGCTGCTTCTTGAAATGGGGCAACTGCTAGAGGCACAGTCATTCTTTTCCTGTCTCTGTTGTATAATATACCAACCTGCTCTTTCATATTTAGAAATGCAAAAACAATGACATCACCTGGTCCAGACCCTCAGTGGCTCTCCCCCTGCAAGAGAGGCAGAAATCTGCCTGATGTTTTGGAGAAGAAAGTGTGCTCCAGCAGTGAATTCTGACACAGGAGGAGAGGTCCCAGGGTCCTGAGAAACCACTGACTTGTTACTTCCTATAAATCCATACTTGGATTAAAGGAACTATTTGAGCTGAGTCTTTCCTCCATAGAATGAGAATGAGATTTCTTCAAGCAGGCCTGGCTCTGGGTCAGTCTGTCTGATTTCCTTCTGAACTCTGGCAAAACAATTTCATATTTTCTACTTACTTGTGGTCATTTACTCTAGCAGTATTGGAAATGCATGTAAAGTTTATTTTGTCTCCAAGACATTGTGTTTCTGGTTGGGCCTTGCGGCATTGGGGAAAAGGCAAAGTGGTCGGCTTCTGGAAGGAGACCTGGGCTGGAGCCTGGTTCAGTCGCTATTGACAATTTGGTTTGGGGAAAAGTCAATTCATCTCTTTACCTCCTGTTGTCCTACTTGAGAAATGAGGAATAGCAATATGGATCTCCCAGAATTGCTGAGAGATTTAGTGAGATGATGTAGGTGTCAATGCATCGGAAGGTGTGATGCTCTATAAATGCCAATTCTTAATGCCAATGCTCAAGTACCCAAACTATACACTCATTTCAAATCAATACCTGGTGTGTACGAGCACCTTCTCAGTAGGAGGTACAAGGAATAGGATGTTAAGAGACGCGACCTTGCTCTCTGAGAGCCTTTAATCTAGAGGCGATGTTAAGGAGACAAATGAGTTCAATCATATTTGCTTTGTCAACCTGGAAAAGCGATGTATCATGTGCTGCTTTCTTCATCTGCGAAATAAGATAATATGCTTGAAATATCGAGTCATACCACAGGCTTGGTATGTGGTACCTTTCCAAGGGGTAAGAAAAGTACCCCTCTAGGATCACCAGAGCTTAAATTGACAAACAAGCGCCATTGCATCTGTTGGGGAAAGCTGAAGAGGCTTTGAAGAACATGATAGTCTCACCAGAGACTTGAAAGATAAGTGGGCTCCTGCATGTGAAGATAGTGATAGCAATGGCTAAGAGGCACCCCACACTTTATGTGGACGATCTCAGAGGTCAGGCCCCCAAATGTTGTTAGTGTTGCCACATTTTACTAACGAGAAGACAGAGGAGATTCATCCTGAGCCCTACAGATGGTGAGGGGCACAGCAGGTTCTAGATCAAAGCAGTTTGGTTACTGCGCCCCAGGTCATGACCAGAGCATAGAAAGGAGCAGGGGACTGGGGAGCGGTTACAGGACTCGGGGAGCAGAGAAGATGAATGAAAGACTTAGGATCATCCTCTCCTGAGAAGAAACAATATAAAGAGGAGGAGGAGGTAGGTCAGAAAGAAACTGTGTGATGAGAAAGTTTAGGGATGCGGGGCAAGCGGGGGCAGGGCTGTCATAGTGGCCGGACAGAGGTCATGGGCGTGGCCTCCCGCGAGCCCAGGTAATGCCTGTTGACTGTGCAGGGAGCAGAACAGGGCTGTGGATTTTGCAAATCCAGGCCAGGTATAAACATGTGGCGTGGGTTTTCTCAGGGCCTAGCTTGTCCCAGAAACCAAGATTCTGTCCTTCTCTGCCCACAAAATGCTGCTGACCTTTGACTTTCACCAGAGATTCTTTTGCAAAGCTTCCTTTGGTGCTGCCTCTCCTTGGGCCTGAGCCATCATGGGTAGTTTTTTAAAAGGTTAGACTTGCAATGTTTGTAAGCTCGCACCAGAGAATGTCAGCGTGTGCATATTTAATTAATCACACCGGCATCTAATGGTGAAGAACACTTCTGCAATGAACCTCGAAGCAAACAACAACCCTCAGTCTTTACAGCACAAGCCGCCACAATGCTGGTGTTTTCTTCGTGTCTCCTTTGCATAAGGGATTTCCTCTACTCTTTTCAGATGTTGAGTTTTACACACACAATTTCATAGAGCTGCAAGTGTCAGGCTCTCAGTGAAAGCAGGACGTTTGCACACAGCTCAGTAGAGTGAGCATTTAGAGTCCAGATTGCTTCCTGGGCGTGCACTGGAGGGATGGTGTCATTCAATGGTTGTGCATGACGCTGCCTCAGTGTCACCCCTGGCCCTCATTTCATTAACAGTCCAGAGGGCATGTCCCTGGAAGGCTTTTTGGCTCTTAATCACATGAGCTCACCTCCGCATGTGAAATTAGAGTCACTGAAAGGTAATTAGCATAAGTTATTCCACCACTCAATCGTGAAAGCATTTTTCTTTTGCCAAAATATGACTTTTATGTAACTGCCTTGGGCCTGCCCGACCGTCTCCACTCCAGTAAAGGGAAGCCTCATGTTCTACTAGCAATTTGCTTCTGGCCAGAAAGACCCAAGCAACAGCTATAACCTTCTTTTTTGTTAAGAAAGAAAAGCATTATTGCTTTATTTTAAAAAATGACTGGGAAGACCATGCCATCCGTCTTGTCAGTTTTGCTCCTATCAAAGCGCGTGACTATTAGTGAGTAGATATTAAGCAGAGAAGTAAATGCTGTCATAGTAAATGCTGTCACCAATGTTCAGCCTTTTCTGCCTTGTGGATTCCCCCAACTCCCATTTTCTTACCTCAGAAACTCCATAGAGGTGATGTTTTTTAGCTGTGAGTCAGCAGCCATCCTGGAACCAAGGCTTTTCTCCTGTTATTTATTCACTCATCAACCATTTCCACATCAAATATTAGTTGAGCACCTATGAAGTTTCAAGGCACTTGGAACACACTCAGAAAAAAACAGGAAAATAAGATCTCCCTGGTGGCGCAAGGGTTAAGTCTCAACACTATGAAGTTATTGCCAGCCACTGTGGCCTGAGTTTGATCCCCGGCCAGGGAGCTGACCCACATGGCACAGCAGACCTCTCCTGTCTCCCTGCTGCTCCCCTCAGCAGTGTATTTCAGTACATCTGCCTATTCTGCTCCCCACTCTGTCTCTGGTGAATCGTCTCACCACACCCCCACCTCTGGCTTACAGCCTAGTTCTTGTATGCAAAAATAAATAAAAATAAATCTTCAAAAAAAAAAACAAAACAAAACAGGAAAACATTCCCTCTTCCGGGAGCTTACATTCTAGTGGGAGGTGGTCAGATAATCGGCAGTGAACATGATAAGGAAGAATGATGTGATATCTAGGCAGTTCGTAAGTGCCCTGGAAAAAATAAAGATGGAAGTAAAAGGGGAGCAGGCAACATGGAGTGTGGGGGGCTGGAGGAGCAGGTGTCCTTATTAAATAGTATCACCAGGACAGACCCTGCTGGGGAGAAAGTGAGATGAGAGAAGATAAGATACCTGGCTTAAAGCAGAGGCAAGAGCCAGGCTAAAGGCCCCAGGCAGGAGCCAGGTGTCTTGAGATGTGGCAAGAAGGCCAGAGGCCTGCAGCAGACAGGAGAAGGAGGCGCCTGGAAGAGGGGGAGGGGCAGGCGGAGCGGGTTGTGATCACAGGGCTTTGACACAGTCACTGTTTCAGAGGACGTCCCGAGCACCAGGTTGGGAATGGACAGTGAGGGAGAGTGTGGAAGCAGGGAGACCAGTGACCTCCTAAAGTTACATCAGAAGCCTCATAGGTTAACATTGTTTTAGACCAGACTTAGAACCACAAAACAGAACGAAACACGCGTTCAGTCCGTCCCTCCCACTCCATCTACGCACAGAAACGTCACTCTTCTCCTTCACCAGGCTTCTTCCTCCATGGAGGCGCATGGAGTCCCCTTACGTTCATCTGGTGTTTCCCTGGGGGGTGGGGTGGGGGTGGCGTGTCAGTGCAGTAATATCACAGAAGACAAAGCCTGGTCAAAAACAAGACTGGAAAGCTCCAGAAGTAGTTCTGGAATGTTTGCTGATGCAAGCACAGCACAGTCAAGAAAGTGCCCAGCACCCAGCACTGGAGTAGCTCACTGATGGGGCCGCATGGCCCAGGCCCTACTATCCAGAGCAATGAGGCGTAAATGCCCCGGCCTTGCTTCACTCTTCTGTTGCCTTTGAACTTCACTGCGCAGCCTAGACTGTGTCTATTTCCCCCTTTCTCAAACTCTAACCTTAGAGGCATATTCAGAGTGAGAGAGATTAATCACTGATACAAAAGCGGGTGTAAAGTGGGGCCTCCCTGTGGAGCAAGGGATTAAGACACAGCACTATGAAGCTATCCGCAGCCACTGCAGCATGAGTTTGATTCCCAGACAGGGAGCTGACCCACAGGGCACAGCAGACCTCTCCTTTCCCCTCACTTGCTCCCCTCAGCAGTGTATTTCAGTGGATCTGCCTGTTCTTCTCCCCACTCTGTCTCTGGTGATTCCTCTCTCCTACCATATCTCTGGCCTGTACCCCAACTCTTGCATGCATGCATAAATAAATCTTAAAAAAAAAAAAAGAGGGTGTAAAGAAATCAAGACAAGACTTGTGGGCAGTAGGCTAGACTGGAAACTTCGAAAGACCTGTCTTCATCACCTATGTACACATCAGTAAGGGATAAGCAGGAATTCTTAGGGCTCTCTTAATTATTTCACATGACTGAGAAGCAGGCGCACAGCTATTAGAAGAAATCCCCAGAGAGATTACTGGCCTAGAAAGATGGGTCTCTGGGCCTCTGCTGAACCAAGTAAAGCCATCGCAAAGTTTAAATGGGACTACAGGGACACAGCTTCAAGAGGGACTGGAAACGTTGTTGGAAGGTCATTTTGCTGTTGGAGGTAAATAAGTTCAATGCCAACTGGGTAATGTCTGTGCTGAGCTGTGGATTCTGGGGCCACACCTGGTGTTGATGTGGAAATGGTCCAGTGTGATGAGCAATGGCTGTGCCGGGCTCAGGAAGGAGCAATGGGGTGGACAGACCCATAGTTGATGTTCCTCACCTGGTCCTTCTGCCTTCACATCTTTCTGCACTGAAAGCATCTTAGGAAGATGAGATGCGATTCTATTTTTAATAGGCCGGGAGAGGACATTATATAAACTTCTTTCACAAATGCAAAGATTGTTGCTTAAAATAAGTTCTCCCTGCATTTTCCAAAGCCTCATTGCTTTATGAAAAGTTCTTTCTCATTTGTCCTGGCCTTGGTGGTGAATGGAGGGGTGCCACGTCCCTGGGCCCACCCGGGTGCCCTGGCACCATCTGTGATCTGTGCCGAGGGGGGACTCTGGGCCCCCCCTTTCCTCTGACTATTGTCTCCTTCCATCCGGGGCTACTCTTCCCTTGATGCAAACCGGGGTCTTCAAACCAAGGCAAAAAGGGGAGAGGGTGGTGGGTCAGGGACAACCTGGATTCTTGTTCTGACTTGGACAATTTTTGGGCTTTATTTTTTGGAGTCTTATTGTTCTCATCCATAAAATGAGGGGGATTTTAACCTAAGCACGAGGGTGACCCTGAGGTTATACACGTTCTGTTCATAGTTAAGAAGGGAGTGCACAGCTTTTCTCACATTCTCAAAGGGGCTATAACCCCTAAACTGCTAAGAATCATTGGCCTGGGGGGGGGGGTTCTAATATCCTTTCAATTGGAAACTTTGCATTTGAAGATCCCCTTCCATAACTATGCTCCCAGCTGGAAGATGCAGGCAAAGCCTCTTCAAATGGTAACATCCGTTACAGAAAGTAGACCCATATTAACATTAATGGACCCCTATTAATCAGATTTGTAGATGATGACAGAGTAGACGACATGTAACTTGCCTGAGAAAGAGGAAGTGGGGTTGTTAAAATTACCCTAAAAGCCTGTGAGTTATGAATAAGCAGACACGGTGCTAGAGGATTTCCTTGTCTTTTAATGGTTGTAAATCAGAAGCACTGCTCATGGGAGACAGGTCCCGTGGCCCCCTGGGACAGCAGCTGCACAGGACTGTCCTGCTGCCATCCCCAGCTGCCAGGCTCCCAGCAAGACTCCAGGGACTGGCCACTATCATGAGAATGGTTTAGCCCCATTTACCACATGTGGCTGCCGTCCACTGATGAAATGCACTGGAGAGGTGTCTCAAGGCACACAGAAAGATCCAGAAAGGCAGCCAAGTTGCTGAGAACAGAGGGAATGTGCATGGGGGACCATGTGTGGGAGACACTGGGGCATAACTCATTGGTGTGTTAGTTACCTTAGGACTGTGTCGCACATTTTCACTCCTAGTTTCAAAGTAGATGGCTGAATACCACCGGCCTTGATGCTCTCAGTTCTGGAGACCAGAAATCTGAAACCAAAGGCTCAGCAGGGTCAGGCTCCCTCTGAAGGTTCTAGAGAAGAACCTCCTTTTGCTTCTTCTAGTTCCCCCACTTTACAGGAAAGGCCAGGGAGGCGCAGGGAGTAGAAGTGACTTGCAGAGAACCAGCACTGGGGTCCAGTCCGAGTGACTCAGAAACTCTCTTGTGTGGTCTCTTCTTGTGCAGAAGCAGAGGGGACAAGGGTTCATCAAAGAAACCCGCCACCACTTCCTAAACACACAATCACATGTCCTCCGCCTGCCCCTCGGGGTGGAAACACTAAATGAGCATGTAGCTGCTACGGTCAGACGTGTTTGGGGCATTTCATCTGCAGAACCTATTGAACTGGATGTTGCCAGATATTTACTTAGAACAATTGAAAACCAGTGCTAGCTGAGGAGGGTGCATTGCTGTTGGCCTCTCCACCACTCAGACCACAGGGGATTTCAACCAACCTGCGGCCTCGCTGTCAGAGCCCCCACCCACAGCGGCTTCACTGACAGATGCTTCCCGCAAATTTCAGCTCAGCTGCACTTGTGGTTGGCTTGGTGACTTACAAGCCACACACACCAGAGCGAAGAGAAGGGAAGGAATGAGCAGGCATACGGAACACAGAACGGTCATCGTAGCGGGGCTTACACCTATGCTGGGGCTGTGGTGAGGATCATTTCTGACTTTCTGAATCATTAATAGCCCCAGGGCTGGGATGGTGGCTGGTAGCAAAGCAGTGGGTTATCCCTACATCGAAAATGACTGTGGGTGTATTTCTGTGAATTTCCCCGGACTTCCCCCTTCTGCTGTGGGCTTTGCGATGTGGCTCTGGGCACATCTGGGCACATCTGGGCACATCTGGGCCTCTTTGGGTAAGATCGATCTGTGCAGCAGGGATGATCTAAATGAACATTCGGGACACTTTCCCTGGGGGAGGTTGGTGTGTTTAACTTTTCAGGTGATTTCCCTTCTCGGGATAACTTCTCGCCAGATAGCAGGCCCCGCAAGTGCACAGCCTGAAGTTTGGGGCGAGGTGGCGTCCTCATGAAGCATAATCCTGGGGCTAAGTAAGTCCTGTTTCACCTCAGAGTGTGCAAGGCCCCGAGCAGATGGAGTCCAGGAGCACGAGCACACTCCTGACCTCGACTGCTCTCACGGACGGCGGGGTTTGAGTCACAGGAACTTCTAGCAGACAGGGCCGTGCGGACTATGGGGTGCAATTGTGGGCTCCCATGTCAAACCACTGACCTGTGAACCCCCGCCCCCTCACTTTCCAGCCAGGTGACCATGGCCGGGTCCTCAGCAACAGAGCCTTAGCTTCTCCATCTGTGAAACGAGCATAACAGTGAAACGAATGCCAAAGTCTGGTTAATGGAGTTTCTCTACCAAAGGTGCTTGACTTCCAGGCTGGGGCTGTGGCCCAGAAGCCTCAATCATCCTTATGGGGGTATGAACAGTGAGTTCTGCGCAATCACTTCCATCAGTTGCAACCTTTCAGCTGGGTTCAAGAGAGCCCCAAGTGCTCGGTTCCCCCATATGGTGTCACCAGCCATTACCAATCTGCTGGCATTTGGTGAGAAATAGAAAAAAGGAAGGTGCTGGGTAATTTTTAGAGACCTACTTTTAAAATGTGTCTCTGACCCGTTTGGGATGGAGAGCTGGTGAGTAGGGTCCATTTTCCATTCCTTTCAGCCCTTGAGTCCTATCTCTGAGGGTTTCTTTTCTGGTAAGTAGAGTAGGTTTCTCTCCCCACAGGGGCCTCTTTCTTTCCCCTGAGCCAGAAGGGAAGGTCCCCTTTCTCTTTCCAGTTACAGGCCAGAACAACGGTCTATTGACATCGTGAATGGAGCGTTTCTTCCTGCGGCAGCTTCCCAGACCTTTCCTCTCTCCCCTGGCTTCCGAAGATGATGATTCAAGTCTACCAGCACCCGCGGTGCCCAAGATCCTTGATTCTGCCACAAATTGATGAGGGGAGGGAAGCTGTTAGGTTGCAGAGTCTCCAGGACTCTGTGTTCTTGGACTCGGACAAGCTTCGAGTTTCCTGGCTTCACCTTCTGCTGGGCCTGCTCTGTCCACTCGGCCATGTCCTTGCCTTCCATGTGCTCCCTTACCCTGCTTCATTTTCCCGGGTGCAAGTAGCACCCCCTGGCCTGTGTCTATTAGCATGTTATGTTGTTTGTTCTCCCACACCTCCAGGAGACTAGGGGCTCGCTCTTGTTCAGTGCTAAATCCCAGCATCTGGAACATAGTAGGTGCTCAGTAAGTATCCACTGAATGAATGAATGAACAAAAGCTGGTTTCCCTCAAAAATCAGAAACTGTCTTTCTGCTAAATGGATGGCGGGTTAGCCAACCTGCTTCATCTGTGACCTGACACACACGGGGCACAGTCCCTGCTCTCTGAGGGGGCAGTGTCCCACTGGTGGGACAGAGCACACGCACGCCACCGCGTGAAGTAAGCCCAGGTGGAGGAGGGGCTGGTCTCCAGCACCGGGGCAGTGGGAGGGCGGGGCTGCCGGGAGGAGGAGGAGGCCAGGAGACTCTGGGGGTCTGTGGAGGGGACCCAAGGCACACTGAGGCCTCCCGGAAGTGCGCCCACTGCTCCATCTCTGTAGGCTATTTCTCCCCTTCTTTTTCTATCTTACTGCTTCTTGTGAATTAAAAAGCAAGTCAGAAAGCAATGTTAAAAATAATCAAACCACAGCTAAAGGAAGGCGCTTTCAAAAGAGAAAGGGGAAAAAAACCTTGAGTTGAATATTATCCCAGCAGGGCTGGAGCCACTCAGAAACCCCTGGGGCGGGAGTTAATGGCACTGACATCACTCTCCTTTTGCATGACTTCAACAGGCCATAAAAACCAGCCTTGACTCCTGGGCCACGAGCTGGAAAAAAGCAGGCTGTGTGAGGGAAGATGTTAATGAAAAGCCCACAGCTCCAGCTTTCCCTAGTGCACACGCTCCCTGCTGTCAGGTGCCTCCTTTCTGGAACAGAAAGCAGCTTCAGGACGGGGTAAAAGACGATCTGAAGGCCCCCTGGAATGGAGAATCTAGGTTCCCCAATGATCCTGGAACAAGGGTCCTGAAATCTGGGTTGGGGGTACTGAGGAGATCTGTGCTTTAAGGTCTGGGGCTGGGCAGAGGTGGCCTGGAGTCTGGGGGCTTGGGGAAAAAGGGGGCCACCTCAGAGGGAGCGCATGCCATTTCAATTTTTTCGTGATTCCTAGGATATTAAAACATGGAAAGATGACAAAAGTCATAGAAACCATGCCATAATTAACCATAGTCATATTTAAATAAGCCCTTTTAATACACAAATAAACCAAGAAAACTTCTTCACCAGGTAAGTTGAGAACTTACTAGAAGTGTGAATTTAGGGTGCATTGTAGGTGCTGAGGACGGACACAGAACAGCATGTGTGTCAGAGAACATCTTTCTAGTCGGTGGGTCCCCTTGACACTGTAACTCAGCTGTGGTCAAAAGCATACATTTGAGGCCCCTCACGAAGGGGGAACCCTGCCCTCATTCAGAGCATCAAGCAGGGAGCATGGAAGCCACCTCTGGCCACGCTTTAGTATTTGCTCTGCAGGTCCTGCTCTGCTCTCCAGATGACACAGAGGGGCCTCCTTTCTGGGCCCCGCCTGCAGGCATGGAGGGTGGGGCCGCCCAGATGAGCTGGCAGCTGACTGCTGGCTCCTTGGGGCCTTTCCAAATACCAGGGTTTGCTCAGGGCATTTTTCCTGAGTCACCTCTGGTGATAAGACAGACAGAAGCCACTCAACAAGTCAGGTTTTAGACCTTTATCCTCAGAGGCTTGGTTTCAGAATTTGCAAGTTTCTTAACAAAACTGTGGTTACCTTGATGGAGCTGCCCTCATTCTGGGAAGCAAAACAGCAGACACAACAATAAACAGAAGGCTGAGCCCACTGCAGAAGAGGAGAGAAGCTTTATTCTCTGGCTCCCCATTGCTACATGTATTTATTCATTCAACCAGTATATCCTGAGCTCCTTCTAAGTGCCAGGCCCAGCAATGTGCTGGTGAAATAACGGTGAGCACATGCAGCTCTGTGCCCTCCCAAATGAAGTCTGCAGTGTAGCGGGGTCAGGGACTCTATCCGACAGTCACCCAGCAAAATAAACAGCCGCTGCAGCAAATGCTCTACGTGAGCAGTATATGGTACAAGGGGTTCATGTCATAGGCTGGCTTGCTTAGACTGGACAAGGAGGGGCTGTCAGAAACACAGATTTTGAGCTGGGCCGGAGGGATGAGAAGGGGAAAAGGAGAGGGCTTGCTGTTTTGGGAAGAACAGGGCAAGTGCAAAGGTCCTGGGTGAGAGAGGAGAATGTAAAAAAGATAAAAGAGGCAAGTGGGGCTGCAGCTGAGTGGTGGAGGCATAGGGTGGTGCACAGGGCATTGGGGCACAATGGGGCTGAGGCAGAGCAAGGGAGAGCTAGCAAGGTCTGCATGGAGGAGGCCCCTTGGGCAGAGCTTCCGGGCCTCCTAGGCTTTCTTTCATCCTTAGAGCCATGGCTTTAAGCAGGGGAGGAGACTGGATGCCTGAATCGTATTTGCATTTTGAAAGATAATTGGGGCTACAGTGCTTTCATCTCTGAAGGTGATTTCTGCTTTGTGGATAGAATAAACAGGGTCAGTGCCCAGTGACCAGAAGCAGAAGCCAGCACCTTGCAACCAGATCTACATTTGAAGCCCAGCTCTGTGCTTTACTTCTGGCATGGCCGTGGGCAAGCCCATCTTTCTGTGCCTCTGCTTCCTCATCTATAAAACAAGATAATAATACCTTCTTCTACATTGTTGTGAGACTTAAGGAATTTAAGATAAATAGTCTAGTTTGGCACACTGCAAGCTCTCCTTCGAATTTTTAAAAGTCGAAACCTACTGTTCTATTATCTATGAGATGAAAAAGCCCAAACTCAGCAGGTCATATGGCTTTTCAGCTTCACTTGGGAAAATGTCTTAGGCGTCACCTGAATTTTACCTTCTTGCAGATTGATGGTCTGGAAATACCTTCTGCTTCTTGAAACAACAATACAATCATGCAATAACCACTTATTAAACTATTTGTATAAGGTATGTCATCATGCATTCTGGTTTTGGAATTTATCACATGGAGAGAAGCACAAGGAGAAAACATACCCATGACAAGTGAGTATTACAAATATAGAAACAAATATGTACTCCATTGGCTGTGGAGCAAGTGCATTTGTGGGTGATGAATAAGAGACTATGAGATGCCTTCTATTTAGCCAGAAAGGGGCTGGTGAGTTAGCCTTCTTTTACGATCAGTCCAGAATTAGAGATTTTGATGCCTTCATTTCTTGAAGGCGTGGGCTGCAAGGACACCCCAGTTGACCTTAAGTCAAAGGTCTTCTCAACAAGACTCAAGAGTGGACTTTTAAGAGACTCTACTGGCCAATGACAAGACAATGTGCACACCAAGGGAATTTGAAATCTATCAAATTGGTTTCCATTCTTGAGTTTCTAATGACACCGAAAAAAATACTGATCACTGTTACAAGATGATAAGAAGCCAGTATACATTGTTTTGTGAATTTGTGAATAAAAGAAAGGAATCAAATATGTATCCTGTCTTTCACATATGAACTGTGCCAAATGGTAACTAAAGGGAAGGTATTTCGCTGATAAGAACAAGGGCAGAGTTAGAATGTCACAATTTGTAATTCTTAATGACCGCAATGACTGTTAACGCCATAAAAAGACAGAACCCCCCTCCCATCATGGCCTTCCTCATGGAAGAACACATACATTGTGTCAAGAATTATTGAACCGGATACAAGTGAAAGAGATCCAACGATCAAATAAAAAGGAGAGAGGAAAATGTTAAGTGATATAGTAATAGAAATGACAAAGCAAAGGGCCCAGTTCCTAAAAGAAATTGCAAAGTGAGAGAAAGAGTTGGCGAGGAAACAGAATCAAGAGTTTTTACGAGACATATTACCCAGTTGCAATGTGTTGATTTACACAAACTGTAAAAATCATTTTAAAGATAAAATGATCAGAAACTTGAAGACTGATGGATGTGTGGTGATTTTAATGAATTAAGTTTTCTAAGTGTGCTCATTGTATTATGGTTCTTTTAATAAGATTTTTTTTTTTCTAGCCATCTAGGCTAACGTATGTGCAGATGAATGCAAAGATAGCAGGATTTTATTTTTTTGGAAAAGCCAAAATAGCGGTAGGGTGGGATTACAGCTAAAGAATATTAACCATGAGCTGAGAATTATTGAAGCTAAACCATAGGCTCTTGGGAGTCTGATCTTTCCCATAATAAAAAATTATAAAAATCCATTGACTAATCCAATATCTGTTGATCTGTTTTCAATATTGAAACATTATTATTAATAATATGGCATTAATATGAAGCCTCACTTGGTCGATCATCCAGTTATTTTCATGGAAACTTCGGAAACTTGGATTCTAACTCTGCTTTCCCATTCACCAGCTGAGGGACCCTGGAACATCAGCCCTCTGAGTCTTCCTGCACCCCTCTGGGAAATGAGGTTCAGGGATGATTTTGAGCATCCTGCTAACCATGGATTCTTGCAGTGATTAAGGGATCTGGGTCCTGTAGTCTGACTGTCTACGTTGGAATCCCAGCTTCCCCAAATGTATCCTTGGGTAAATTTACTCAATCCCCCAGAGTTTTGGCTTCCAAACTTGTAAAATGGAAAGCTTACCTCAAAGGGTTCTTGCAAAGATTAAATGAGATACTCAGTGCGTCCACTCTACAACATTGGCCAGCTAGCTTCCAGCTCAGGGAGGGCAGACGACAGAGGAGTGAAGAAAACACCCAGAGTGGGCAACTCGGAGTCTAAAAGGAGAAGCCAGACAACACTGTGAATGCTAAAGAAGAAACTGGACTCAAAGGACTAGAATTAGGAAAAAACAGCATAGCATGTGTGCGAGCGACTTTCCAGGAGGGTGGGTTGCCAACATTCAGTCGGTCTCCCCAAAGGGAAGTTGTCTGTCATGCAGGCCTCAAAGTCGGGGCCGTCCAGCCTTCTCAGCAGGCTGGGGTCACCTGCCTCTATTCTTGCTCCACTTTGGCCAGGTCAGGGACTTCTGGTTGCTGTAAGGAGGTGAGGGGGAGTTGGGGGGCGGGCAGATCTCTCTGGCACCTAGTAGGTAGAAACCGGGGACTCTGCTCAGCATCTTACAATGTATAGGGCAGTCCACACACCAAAAAGTCCTCTAGTCCAGGATGTCAGGGGTGGCGAGGCTCCCGAAGCAGAAGCGAGCGGGCAGTTTGGCCCAGGACAGGAAGATGATGAGAGAGAGAGGCTGGGCTAGCCCAGGGGGCGCTTTGGGGGACACGATGAGGCGCTTGGAGTTATTCCGAAAGCCGGGGGCAGCCTTGGCGCGTTTTAAGGCGGGGCGGGGGGCGCAGCCCAGGCCCCGCGCGCGGCACCCGGCGGCGCCGCGGCCCTATTGTCCACCCTCCGCGCGGCTCCCCGCGTGGCCGGCTCCCGCCCCTTCCCGCAGCGGGCCCGGCGCGGCCGCAGTGACTCCTCCTGGCCAGCAGGGGGCGCCGGCCGGCACTTGGCCTCCGGCCGCCCGGGGCGGGCCTCCTCTTGCCGTCCCCCTTGCTCGTCCTCTCCCCTCAGGAGAAGTCGGGAAGGTGGCGGCGGCGGCGGTTGTCCCGGCCCGGCCGGTCGGTGTGGCCCGTCAGCCCGCGCTCCGCAGCGTCGGCGCCGCGTCCAGCGCGCCCGAGCCGAGGGCGGCCGCCAGGGCCCGCGCGGGCGGCGGGCGGCGGGCGGCGCGCGGGCGGAGGGCGGCGGCCGCGGCCAGGGCGGCCGGGGGGAGCGCGGGGCCCGGGGCGCCGCGCCGCCCGCTGCCGGCCGGGCCGGCCTGGTCCCCGGCGCCGCGGCCATGGCGGCCAGCGCCAAGCGGAAGCAGGAGGAGAAGCACCTGAAGATGCTGCGGGACATGACGGGGCTCCCGCACAACCGCAAGTGCTTCGACTGCGACCAGCGCGGCCCCACCTACGTGAACATGACGGTCGGCTCGTTCGTGTGCACGTCCTGCTCGGGCAGCCTGTGAGTGCGGCGGGCGCGGGGCGCGGGGGGCCGGGCGGCCGTTGGGCGCGGGCTCGGCTCGGGGGCGCGGGTGGGGCCGGCCGTTCGCCCGCGGGCCGGGGCGGCGCTTTCGCTTTCGCCGGGCGGGGGCGCGGGCCGGCGGCCGGGCTGCGGGGGCCGGCGGGGCGGGGGTCCGCGGGGCGCCCTTCGAACCGAGCTGGGCCCCCGGGAGTCGGCGCCGCCGCCCTCGGGCCTCGCCCGGGCGCGCACCCCGCGGGGCCTTTGTGCGCCCCGCCCGGCGCGCCCCCCGCCCGGCACCTGCGGGCCCCCGAGGGCTCCGGAGCCCGCTGGGGCGGCGGGACCGCGGCGACGCCGCGCCGGGCTCTGCCCCTCGGGGCGGGCGGCCCCGGGCCCGGGAGGGCGCGGGCACGCGGGAGTCGTGGCGGGGCGAGCGGGTCTCGGGGGCCCGCGACGGGAAGCCCCGGGGAGAAAGTTGGAGAGGCTCCCTGTGGAGGGGCGGAGGGCGCCGGCGAGCTGCGGAGGTGAGCGAGCAGGGCCCGAGGGAGCCGTGAGGCGTGGGGGGGGGTGTTCCCCGGGCCGGGCTCGACGAGGGGCCGTCCTGCGGGGGCGCGCGGCGGGGAGCCGCCCAGCGCCCCAAGACGGGCCGCGCGGGCTGGAGGTGCGCGCCCCGAGGCCCTCGGGGGGACCGGGCGCTTGGGGTGTGTGGACGGCGTCGGGAGCTGCCCGCGGTGAGGCCTCCGAGCGTGGCGCTTCCTCGGGAAAGTTCACAGATGGTTCTGGAACCGGGGAGAAGCCCCGACGGCTCGGGCTCAGGCTCCGGGTGGGAGTCCGCGCGAGTCCCCGGCCGTCCCGCGTCTCCGGGGCGTTGGGTCACCCCCGCCCCCCATCTTTTGTACGGTTACTGCTGAGACAGAATGTACACGGGAAAATCCGTTTTTGGAGAAGGCAGGCCCCGTTCAGCAGCGCAGCGGCTGTTTTTCTTCTTCAGTTCGGGGAAGGCAGCTGGGCTTCGCGCTGCTGCTTCAGCTCTGGGGGCTGCCGGGCCCTGAGCCGCCGCGGGGCGCTGACCACAGCGGGATCCTCGCCGCCTCGCCGCCGGCGCTCCGGTGGGGGGTGGTAGTAGCGTCAGTAGTGAAACACTCAGTAAAATAACTTGAGAAACCGTGTCTGCCGAGAGGTGAAAGCCAGGCAGGATCCTGAGACATGGATCATTAGTTGATGATTCTGGGGAGTTGGTGAGGCCGGAATCACGGGCGAGGCGGGTGTGGAGACGGCGCGCTCTGCTGAGCGTTTGAGACTGCAGGGAAGTGACTTCTGTTGGGCAGCTTGGCTCTCAGTGAAGCCAGCAGTCTCGTTTATCTTAAGTGTGTTTGCCTGTTACTGTATGCGTCGTAGAGGCACATCTCCTGCTTCTAGTAAACACGACATCCTTTGATAGCATTTGAAGAGTTCGTGTGAGAGATTCGTGTCTGTGCGGTGGGGGCTTGTGGCGTTTCTGAGTCGCCCTTTGTGAGTACAGCGGAGCAAGGTTTCCTTGCAGTAGATGCGAACCATCGAGACGTATTTACACATTTCCTCCTATAGTCCACCGTTCAGAAACACTTCTGTGTTAAAGCCCATCTCAGTATGACACTAGTTTATTTAATGGTATTTAATTTGTAATAATAGAACCTGACGTCTCTTTCGTGGTTATTACATACACAGTTATTGCTCATTTGGCTTGTGTCAGACACCGTGGGAAGCGCGGTGTTACTCGGTTCAGCTGTTCTTAAGCTTGCATTCTAAATAAGTACAGATTTTGGACACTGGCACTTTGTGACTTAGCCAAGGTATTAAGCCAGCTCTCCACATGCACTGTGGCTTGAATCTAACCCTTAACCATGATTCTTTTCTATGTGATAAGAGGACAGTAATATAAAGCTAAAGGTTGTTAGGATTAAATGGTTCAATTCATCGAATATTTATTGAACACATACTGTGTAGCTAAGCACGTACACAAATAAGTAGACATGCTGGTTGCCATTCAGAAACTTGTGCCTAGAAAATGCTCATACACAGTAAATGGTACCATGAACTCTAAATTTTAGCAGTCGCATGCCTTTTACCATACATGTAGCAATATCTTTGTTTAAATAAATTGAACAAAATTATAATAACATTACTAATTTCAGAGCTAATCTTTCCCATTTTTGCCCCTAGATGTCTTATATGATGCTTGTTTGGAGTATGTGACTGAATTCAGATCAGAATCTTTAAATAGATTGGATTTAGATGTGGTCAGACCATTTATTAGTAAGGCGGAGGGGAGTGTTCTTAGTGCTTAATTTGTCGCTTTCTTCTGTTTACAGAAAAAATGATGTAAGGACACTATTACAGTCAACAATTAAACATACATTTAAAGAACTTTTAGTTGATTTAAAGATTAGTTTTAGATCAAGTTGTTCTATGGAAACTTAATATTAGTGTAATTAGTAAATAATATGAGAATATTGTCCTATCCTTAAAATGATTCTGGAATTTTTCAAAGAGGGTTTAGAAAAAATTAATAACATTGGAGAAACACTTGGTCCTTCTGAACTCAAGCTATTTATGTGAGCAGTGCATTTAAATTTGGAATTTCACAGGTGGAGATAAGTAAACGGATAGTAATTTATAATCCATTAATTTGTGTACATTTTGACTTTATAGCGAATACTTATCGCAAGAATTTTAATTTTTAAAATTAAACTTGGACTGATGAAAGGTGGGTTTTTTTTGTTTTTGTTTTTTTGTGGGACCCTCCCCGGTGGCGGGGGAACGAACCGGCACTGCAGACAGAGGCTGCAGGCAGCCTCACAGCCCAGCGCTCAACTGCTGTGCCACCAGGGGAGGCCCTGAAAGGTGGTTTTTATACAGGTATTAGCATGAGTGGATTACAGTCAAGCACTCTTGGAGGTGTTTATAATATTGAAGACTTCATGAGGTCACAGTGGGCAGTGATTTATATCCTTCATTCATTTTTCACAATTTTTAGTATTCTAACTTGGCTATATTCCATGAGATACTTTGACAGTGTAGTATACTTACAATTTCATGTGTAAGTGGGAACATTGATAATGTTTTCAGTTGTGAGGGGCAGAAGTTTTTTGTAAAGCAAATATCAGGTGGCAGTCAGTAGTACATGTGTTGGGGAATACAACAACTAAAGTGCTTATTGAAATGAAAGATACAATAATAATAATTACTAGTAACACTTATGGAGTGCTGTGTGCCAGGCACTCTTCTGTAACATTCATGAGGAAGTACTATTACCCCCAGGACTTTAAATTGTAAACTTAGTGTATCCTCTCAGTGCTTTGTTGTGATACCTTACTTAACTTAGGATCTAAAACAGAGGTGGATTCTACTACTAACAAATGTAGAGAGTTCCCATGAATTACTGTAAATGTGAATTATGTATTTCGGTAATTTGAATGGTAAGTTTTACTTCACTGGACTTTAAAAGGTAGGACAGTCAGGATGCGTCATAGATTTTTGTTTCATATTTAAGACATTTAAGACTTTTTTAAAAGGAACTTCATAACCTCAGATATATTTTTAACTGAATTTTATTCAGAAACTATTGTTGCATATTGTGAGTCAAAGGGTATATGGTGCTGTTTCGATACTGTTTTTTTTAAATTTGGCATCTCTCTTGCTTGTTGTTGGTCTTTGAACTGTAATTCGAAGCTCTCATCCTGTGCATGTAGGATTGATAGTGGGTAGGTTTATGAAAGTCATTTGAAGACAGCATAAAGACATACATATACATATGTGTATATAAATATATTCAGCTTTTTTATTTTCACATATCACTGTTAATTTGCTAATACTTCCATGTATCGCCTAGGACTGTTCTTTGAATGTGATGTCCCCTTTATATAACCAAGACTTGCAGTGTGGTATTTATGATTTTTACAATTTAAGTTACTTTTAAAGCAGTTTGAGTGCTGAATTGTTTTAGATCTTTTTTGTTTGTCTTTTACATTTCCTGTGTGCAACTAAATAACATTTCATAGTGACTTGATTTAGTTGCCTCTAAAATATTTCACTTATTTTTTCTTTTTTTTAAAGATTTATTTATTTATACAAGCACTGGGTACAGTCAGAAGCGCAGGAGGGTGATAGAATTCACCAGAGCCAGAGCAGGGAGCAGAGCAGGCAGAAGGACCGAAGTACACTGCTGAGGGGAGCAGCGGGCGGCAGGAGAGGTCTGAGCGCCATGTGGGACCCTCCTCCGGTGGCACGGGAGCAGCCGGGGATCAAACCGGTGCTGCAGAGGCTGCGGGCAGCTTTGCAACCCAGCGCTCAACCGCTGTGCCACCAGGGAGGCCCTATTTCACTTATTTTTTATGGAAACAATTTTCACTTGTGTCAGTGTTTTCACTTAAACTTTATCAGATACTATACCAATTTTATCACGAAGTACTATACCAAACAAATCTCTTTTTTTTAAAGATTTATTTGTTTGTTTGTTTATTTATTTATTTATTTATTTATTTATTTATACAAGCACTGGGTACAGTCAGAAGCACAGGAGGGTGAAAGAATTCACCAGAGCCAGAGCAAGGAGCAGAACAGGCAGACTGACGAAGTACACTGCTGAGGGGAGCAGTGGGCGCAGCAGGAGAAGTCTGTGCACCATGTGGGACCCTCGCTGGCGGCTGGGGATTGAACTGGCGCTGCAGAAGTTGCAGGCAGCTTTGCAGCCCAGCGCTCAACCACTGCGCCACCGGGGAGCCCCCAAACAACTCTTGATAAGCATAAACTTCAGTTGAGTTGGATAGAGCAGGAGAGAGTGATGATCTAGCCATAAATGATCATTGTACAGTAGACATTTGCTATAGGATTTTCATTGGGAAGGAAAAACATAAATTCATTAAGTAAATTGATTAAAAGGGACTCCTCAGCAGTGCTGTGAGCACCTTCTGTCCCAGAAGCACTCTGCAGCACACAGGGCATAGTAGCATCATTTAACTTTG